CTTTTTCATTTTTATTATACATAAAGATATATATTTGTTCATTTACAAATTGTGTTCATTTACAAACTGGCAACACAATTACCAATTAGAGAATGGTAATGCACAAATTGTATTGTTGTTATTATATTATATTGAACAAGGTCATGATAATGTATAGACCAGACCAGAAATGAATTTTATTGAATTTAAGCCTGCCTGTTTCATTTTAATTTCAGTGGAATTTGATTGAACTTAAGTTCTTTTTTCAGAAGCGTTTTATTTAAGCAGATGACAATAGGTTCAGGCATGCTGTTGGCCAAAATTATGTCGTGAATTCAAACCCCAAGGTATACAACAGAGATTGTGTTGGCACATCCTTCATTCTCACCTAACACAATGTTTTTACTTCAAGGTATACAACAGAGATTGTGTTGGCACATCCTTCATTCTCACCTAACACAATATTCTTCCTTCAGCATCACAGGAGTGTTTTATTTGGGAAGTTTGAGGTTTGAATTTCAGAGAACACCCCTCTCACATTAATTGTGTGTGTGTGAATCTGAAGATTCAGATTTACTAAAGTTTTTGTGATAATATTCACATACCTTGGAACAAATTATTCATACAAAAAGCTTCCTTTCATTCTCGTCACATCAGGTTGGTTGCCCACCTGTGAAAGACTGTCGCTATTATTATCACTAAAACACTAGTAAATAGAAATCCTTGGAGCCATGAACAATCAATATAATAAAGGTTGAGAGTATGAGAGGATTGCTAGAATAAAGTACTAACTTAAATATTTTTTCAGGGAAGCTGGTTAATCCAAGCAGCTAAAAAATGCCAACAATACCTAACACCTTCAGTGAATAAAGATGTGTGATTTCTTTAGTTTAGATCTTACATAGTAAAACTTGGGTTGATGTTTCAGAACACAGGATAATAGTAGACAGCCATGTGGATATTCAACACAATCACATCTTTAACACTCTGTCTCCTCTAACGCAATTTCACTGGGGAATCTCTTCCAGGAAAACGATTTGTATTGTCTCACACTAACATGTGGCTGAAGGAGATTGCACAGCAGGTGTCCAAGGAATTTAAGTCCCAAGGTACCATTCAACAGGCATGCCTTGTTCTTTCCCAGTACATTTTATTGTTATTTTATCGCAATCCTTATATGGGTCATTTCACAGTGTTTTTTATTCTGTGGAGAAATTAACAAAAATTGGTATATCTTTTTAAAACATTTGTCAAACTGTTTGTTGTCTATGTGGCCTCAAAAAGGCTGAAGATGCAGTTGTTTGTTTTATTTTGGCTTGTGACATAAATTCATCAGAAGATTATGTTGTCATAGAAATGGGTAATGGGGGAGGAGAGAAAATACTGTAAAATATCCCAGTTTGCATGAATATATATTAGATAGTGCACTTATTTCTAGTTTAGACATGTTAATTATTGATATACATGTAGCATGCATTTGCTATTTGGTGTTGTCTTTCATTTATCACAATTAAAATTACATGACATTTCACAAATAAATATTACCTTGTGTATATATGTATTTACATATTTTCATTTTCTTTGTATATCTGCATAGCTTATGGCCATGTTGGAATGTAAATCATTTTCTGCATCTATGAATATTTATTTAATGAATGCTGTAAAACTAACTTAGAAGTTGTCTTGGTTTCTAGGCTGGCTGTATACTGCAAAGTGCAGTGTACTAATCAACAATATGTGCATGCCACTACTGCAGAGAGGATAGTACGTTATAGCATTATGTGATGGGCACATAGTCTATTTTTTATTTAGATATGTAGATTGTAGTTTATAATTGTGTTTTCTCTTTCTTTTGCAATGCTTTTTTGCTTGTGCTATGTCTACTTATAAAAATCTCATTTTTTATCATGCACCAAAAATGTCTTCCATTTCTGACTCTTGATTTTTATTTCTGTTTTTATTACTTGAAAACTATCCTTAATTTCCCTATACACTGCATGTGCGTGCATGCTCGCTTGAACGTAGGTGGTCGTCATATCCTAGCAAACGAGACAATGTGGGTTAAAGAAATAGCTGAGATTTTAGCCAAGGAGTTCGATCCACAAGGTGGGAACTGAAGTAACTAATATCACAATTGTCACATCAGTTGTCACAACCATTGTCACAACTAACACAATTAGCATCTCTAGTACAACAGCTACATCAGTTGTCACAACCATTGTCACAACTAACACAATTAGTATCTCTTGTACAACAGCTACATCAGTTGTCACAACCGTTGCCACAACTAACACAACTAGTATCTCTAGTACAACAGCTACAACAAGTATTTGAATCACCTAATACACTGTTCATTTTTAACATGGTTGGTATGGGTTATACCTAGGTAAAATTTCCACTAGTTCAATTAGAATTTATTTTGAGAAATTCCTTATTTTCACCAGTGTGGTACCAAATCTACTGGTCAGTTGCCTTGGATACATTTAAAGTCAATTGTTTCTCCCAGCAATCACACCAAGCTGTTGTAGCCAAATAAATAAAATAAATTTAACACTACAGATAACAGGGGCGTAACCAGACCTTTTAAAATTGTACGAACAGATTTTGAAAATTCCCAGGTACGACTATATTCCATGAAAAATACACTGAATTTATGGAGAATAATATCATGGCTGGCTCAAAAAAATGTACGCACAGTGCATCGGTGCGTATGCCTGGTTACGCCCCTGGATAAATACAGTTTGATCAACCTAAAATGAAAAAAAGCTTTCGTTATTACTATTAATGTTTGTAATTGATAATTTGTAGATACTATTCATGATTATTGGATAGAAGTACACTAGAATTTTGTTAAAACAATGGCCGTTGGAAATTCATCAATTACTTCATTGTGTTTCTCTTAAAGTTAATATGGAATCAGAATGTAATATATTTCATTTAAAAAGGGACATTTGATAAAATTATCATAAAATACATGTAAACCTGTTTGCCAGTTTTTATGCAAAATAAAGTATTCCAGGCCTGTACTCAAAATTCTTTCTCTGAAAAAATGGACCTCTTTACTGTGAAACCTACCTTAGACCTTTTCTTTGGTAAAAGTTTTATTTTTAATCCTCTCGTGAGAACCCCCTCTGCCTATGGGCTATAAGTTCTGTTATATGTACAGATATGTTAAATGTCTCTGTTCTGTATTGAAGGTTACAATGTCCCAACTACCAACTGCCCGTATCTGTTCCTCTGGGCCGCCAGCATATTTGACAAGACCATCAAGATGGTGCTGCCCTCTGTGGGCAAAGTGGCAAAGTTTGACAATACCAGGGTAAGTTGCTTATGTGTTTATTGTTTTAATTTGCAGAAAAAGGATTTTTAGGATTGGGGTTTTTGTAAACCTGTTAAAAATCCAGTGTCAATCATCAGTGCAAGTTATTGATGAGATATATCAAATTTATACCTTAATGAGTACTACTAGCAATTGTGATACATGTACGTAACTCTGAAAAAATGAAAAAATGTGAACAAAGAAAATAATATTGGAATATTACAGTAAGTGATGTGTTTCAAAAAATTATGTAATCACCATATCATAATTTCATGCAAACAGTTAGTTGACCAAAAATTATTTACTATCCAATACTGGTGTCTCACAAGTCTCATTCTTTTGACAATTAATGAAACCTGACACCTCAATCCCTGCATAATATCATTAGATACATAATGAAATGAGATCGCAGATGATTTTGCAATTTAGCTGTTGTTTTGAAGAGTCTTGAAGTCTGACTTAAAATAGTGAATTTTTTTAACATATTCAGATGAAGGAAGTCTTGGGTATTGAACCACTTGAGCTGAAAGATACCATTCTGGACATGTGCTATAGTATGATTGAAAAAGGCATGGTGAAGAAGACCAAGAAATACAGAGGGCGCACACCACCAGGTGAAGATGCACCTGAACAGACTGAAGAGGGAGCCACTGAAGAAAATCATAAAGAGGCCAAACTGAATGGTGGGGTTGTGGATGGCAGCAAAGTTGAAGGTCAAACTGAGGTTGAAGGTCAACCAGAAGATCAAGAGGTTGGAGAAGTGCAGACAGAGCATAATGGTGGGGTTGTAGCAGCTCCTGCCGCTTCTGAAGACGAGAAGGTTGATGAGGACACAAAAGTAGGTGAAGGTCAAGTTGAGGTCAAAGGAGAAAGCCAGGAAGAGATCAAAAGTGAAAGCCAGGAAGAGGTCAAAGGTGAAAGCCAGGAAAAGGTCAAAGCTGAAGGTGATATGGAGGTCAAAGGTGAAGGTGAAATGGAGGTCAAAGGTGAAGGTGACATGGAGGTCAGAGGTCAGGGAGAAGGTCAAGAAGCAGATGCAAATGCACCAGTGGATGAAACAGAGATTGTACAGGATGAGGTAAAAGGCGTGTCGGTTGAGGAACATCAGCAAACTGCTGAAATTGCTGCAAATGAGGAATAAATAATGTGACTGACAATGAAGGGACCTTGATGCCATGTACATAAACCATAAAAGCTCAACTTGAAAGAACAGACTTCAGAAAAATTTAACAGACTGTTAAGTTCAGAAAAAACTTCATTATTTGGAAGTTTGAATATTTTTAGCCAGTATCGTGCATATTCTGCTGAAGAGGGTTTTTTTTTCTTCAAAGTGATACAGATTCAGAACTAGTGTCCGATGTGATTGATGGCATGTTACTTTTTTTTTCATATATGATGAAAAAGGGAGACTATTAAGAGTGTGGTTGTTTGTGTTTAAGTAGGCTTTTTTATACCTGTCCTTTTGACTCTGCTGAGAATTTTCCTATCTGAAAAGGAAAAAATAGCAATGTATGAATTATTTTAATGGAAGCTAACTCTCATATTTTTTCATAAACATGGTACTATGGTTCTGTGGTAAAGGTAACATTGGCTTTACAAACTATCAGTATCCCAGCAGGCAAACGACATTGATTCTACGTTGATTCAACGTTGATCCACCAAAATTAACGTTGATTCAATGGTGAATCAATGTCGTTTGTCTGCTGGGATGTTTTTCAGTTTAATTTTAAGTATTATTGCCCATTGTCTAATAAATTTCAGATACCGATATAAACCTCAAGTGTTATTTTGGTAAACATTAACAAAAAAGCAATGCAAGATTTATGGTGCATTTCATTAGGTTCAAACCAAATTTGTTGAAAAGGATGAAATATATTGATATTGTATTATATAATACATAGTAATATATAATATATTATATTAACAAATTATTCCAGCTGAAGGATATTTCATAAAAATATTAAATAAAACAGTATTGTTATTCTCATTGTACAAGTTATTAAGGAGGATTATTGCAATACCAGTAGAGTTAGTTATCCACCCTTGTGTGGATGTTATAAACTAAGACATCTTATTCCATGGATTAGAACACCATGGGACTCCCAGAGAAATTGGCCATTGATTCACCTTGACCTGATTTTCAAGGTGAAAAAGGTTAACTCAAGGAAAAATGTTTGGTTGCCTATTTTTTGAAAGCTGGAAACTTTAAATATTTGATCACCATTAAGTGTAAAAAGGGAGATGTATCCTTTTTTATTATCAGTTTTTGTTTATCTGTTTACTTTCATATGAGTGTTGCCATGGAAACTTATCTTTTCATTTTTCACCACTCTAAATGATACCAAGGGGTGTTTATCATTTGATGGGTGAAGTTAATGGAGCCAGTTGCACAGAAGTCACTGTTTTTTGGGCTAAAAATTTAATCTTCTTGGACCTACCCTACTGCGTTCCATTTCTCAAAGATTCCCAAAGGCCTCATACTGTTACACTATCAGGGGGAATATTTTGGTCTTTTAAATAAGTCCCTTGAGCGAATTTTTTCACAAAGCTGATAACCCTCTTATATGACTTTGCCAGTCCACTTTGCATGACCATGCACCATGTGTGTTGTATAAGTAACTTTGAGGAAGAACTTTTTAATTAGGAACCAGATATATTGCTGATTTCATTTAAAGGACCATACAAATCTGTAATAGCTAAAATTTATGTTCATTTGTGGGTATTCAGATAGCATTCGACTGGACTTAAAGGTCACCTCTTTTACATATGGTACTACATCAGAATGATAATTGCCAGTAACAGTTGTTTTATTTTTGATACTGAAATATATATCTCTCTCTTATTAAATTTTCTACCTCCCATTCTCTCTATCTCTTTCTCTGTTTCTCTCTTTCTTTCAACTCTTCTCTTTTTCTTCAGTTTCTCAAACTTGCACTTGTTCACAAAATAAGTTATATTTGTTTTTGTGCCTGTCAATCACTTCTTGTTTTACAATGTGCTACCAGTTTTTTATCTGTTTTGTATTGCCAATTGTTGTATGTGTTGAGGTAAAGAAAATATGCTGAAAAGTTTCACACAGTACATTTTATATATGCAGGTAGCAAACTTCAATGTGCTAGCTATAGACAGTCTCTTGGTAGGCTTCACCTAATTACTGTTGAAAGTAGAATCCATTTTGTTGTTGTCAAATATTTGTGGTAAATGAACATTTTGTAGCTAATTAGTTTAATAAAACAAGGACCAGTAAATTAAAACTCAATTCCAAGTACATTTCTACCTTAAACTGAAAGATAAGTGTAGTATTGACACCATTGCCCATATTACATATTTAATTATTGTAGAACAAATATTTATGGTGATTTTGTATGCCTTACTACTTGTATAAATCAGTTTTCAGAAATTGAAATCCTTCTATAACTTGTCAAAGAAATGTAGAAGGAAAAAAGGGGGTATTTTAGGTTATGTGGAAATTAAGGGAATTATTCTTCACATTGTACAGTAATTATGCTAGGGTAAATTGATTGTATTGTTTCCATGTGAAGATGTTTATACATGGTGGTTCACAGATGACCAAATAATGAAGAGTTTTGTTAGTTCATTGTTGCTGTACGTTTTAGCATGTTTTATTGCCAGGTATATTTCAGTCATATTCTTGTATCTGTCTTCTATACGTCAGCCTCAGATTCAGAGATCCATGGAAACTCACCTCTGGACTAAAACTACACTAGATCAAAAAAAAAAAAAAAGGTCTGAAGCGAAATTGATTTTCAATCATCTGTATAATGCAGTCAGAAAATCTTCAGTGTATGATAATAAGTAATGGATGTAGGTTGCATAATCCATCAATAGTTGGTTAAAATGTTTACCTTAGCTCATATGGTTATTTTGTGATTATTAAAATAACGTTTTTGAACTTTTTTGTAGATACTGGAAACCCCATCAGTCATTCTGGGGATAGAGGGTCACAGGAGTCTCTGAAACTGAAGGTGATATTATAGGACTTTATAAATAAACGAGCTTCAAAAATATTTCATATGCTGAATTTATTTATTTATTTACTTTCAGTTAAAGGAATTCGTGTCCTTATGAGGATAATCAAGCATTGTTCATCATGCCAAGTAGAAAACAACATGGATCATTCACTCCTACATTCAATTTTTCCTGTTTACGTGATTAGAACTTGCGTGATAATTTAAGCTGGTCGTGGTGATTTTCAAAATTAACCTGTACTAATATACAAGGTCACTCAGCAAATTTGAAGAAAAAACAAAAAAATATGGGGCTGATATTGCCAAAATACACGAAAAAATTAAAAAAAAAAAAACTAGGGGTCTGGCAATTATTCCATGGAGCCATGATTTAATCAGTTTAATGGTGTGCGTGGAGACGGAAAGACCATCAGCGGATAAGTTGGGTCTTCTTCATTGTAGGGTCAGCCATGTTTGATCCGTGGATCACTTGATCCTCAAATTTTCTGTTCTGAATGAGCATTATGAAGAACAACAACGCGGGAGCCCTTTATTTAACCCTCTTTATTGCACATCACAAATGATGCTTTCTTTATTTACAATATGCCAACATTCCAAGTGCCCTCCCTTCAACAAAATAAACAAAAATAACCGACAACAGAAAAGTATTTTTAAAAAAACCTGCAAACAGAATCCAAATTACAATTCTAAAGTGGTTGTAGAATTCAACCATCATATCTAGGATGGACTTGCATATGCCCACGTCCATCAACGCAAACCACAATTATTGACTAAACTGACCTCGACGTATCAAATGTAAAACTGACAAACACTGCTTAACAAAAGCAAACTAAAATTAACTACCACAATAATTCGCAAATAAATCCTAACATATTAAAATACATTTGTTATTGGCATAACAAGCATTCAAGATATTGGTAACAGTTTTACTGAGAGCATTTTAGTCTTCAGAAAGTGTCCATAATGACTGCAAGGTTCCTTAAATATAAAAACCACCCACTTCGAAGAAAACACTGTTGGTAAAACGGCAATTTTAATTTGTACCCAAAACCTTTGTGCAACACATGCTGCAGTGAGTTAACAATGACATTTAACTTGTGGTTACACCCTTTCTAAGATTTTAATCTCATTTCTTATCGGCCAAATATAACTGTTAATGGACCTGTGATATTATCATTCTTTCTCACTTTAGAGATGAAAAAAAAAATTGCATACAAAACATACGGACAGCTTCATGTTTAACTGGAGGGAGAGAAAAAGTTAAGGGTGAACTTATGCTTTTCAAAATGCAATAGGACAGACGTGCTTCCATTAAATATGTGAAATTAAGTACACAAGCGTAGAAATACAAAAGGAAATGCTTGAGCAAAATAATTAAGAATTTTTGTTTAATTTTTAGATTCAATCCCTTTCCCCTTAAAGTAAATATTTATGGAGCAACCTTAGATTGTTTACCAGTTAAGAACTTTACTAAAAAAAAAAATAAAACTATTACAAACTCTTCTGAAAATGCCCACAGTATTCCTACACTACACCAATTTTGCAACATAAATTCTAAATAACTTAATCCAATTATTTCTGAATGTTAAAAGAAATATATGTATCTAAGTGGTTATCTTAATTACCCCTTGGATTCATCTCCAAGACTTTGCAACATGGCGCATTTCACAAAACATGATACCAAAAATTAAGCACTTGATTGACATTTGTTGCAGTATTTCTAACATACTTGTTCAAAATACAGTGCACACAGCAAGCAAAGCCCTCTCTTGCTTATTTTACCTCCCCTTTGCTTATTTTGAGTCGGCAATGATCCCAATTTTCCACTCGGAATTTCAGTTTGTATTGCAGGCTACCATTGCCATTTTTGCCTTGAAGCCAGGTGAAATCTCAAAACAAGCATTCCACATTTCACAATGCTAAACAATTTTAAGTCAGCAATGACAACAGACGCCACAATCACAAAATTTCAGTCCATTTAGCAGGCTATTACTGCTAATCTATCCTACAAAGGCCTTGAAACTCAGGGAGGAAATCTCAAAACAAGCATTACAAAGCTCACAATGCTAAACCCACCAGGCTAATATCAGCAATTTACAAGAAGATATTGTCTTAAGTTAGAGCCCCCAATGTACAGATCCACATATACAGATATTTACAAAGAAATTACGTACCACCCTCTTTTACAGCTCAGTTCAATATATTTTGTACAATTTAATTAAGGAATGAAGTAGTGCAGAAGAAGTGGTAAGCTTAGATTAACTTGAAAGCTGGAAATATACCACAATTCTAACCTCAATTTAATGCCAATCCCACATCAAATGTTCAAATATTTAAAGCATCTCATTTAAGCCTAGTTGAAAGAAATAACTAAGGACTCTTTCAATTGTATACTACACCACATTAAAATAAAATGTCTTCAGATATGAAGTTCAATTTTCGTTGATCATGAGTCCAAAAACACAAAAAAATAAATAATGAAACCCTAACTCCCCTTTTTGAAAAAGGACCTTTCCCCAGTACTACCAGCTGAGGAAAAAGTCTTTTTTAAATCACACTATACATACTTCACAACCTCTCCTAATTAACCCCCAGAGTAGAAAAAAAAATAGCAGGATCAGGTT